CTCAGGCCGGGTCATCTCCGGTCTGCAGCCCCTCCTTCCCATTTCTAGAGAGGAGGTCGGCTATCGCCATCTGGGCCCCCGGCCTGTGGACCACCTTGAACTTAAAAGGCTGTAAAGCTAGATACCAACGGGTGATCCGCACGTTGGTATCCTTCATATGGTGGAGCCACTGGATGGGCGCGTGGTCTGAACAGAGAGTGAATTCTCATCCCAGGAGGTAATACCGGAGGGTGAGGATGGCCCAACACTCTTTTTCAATGGTGCTGTATCTGGTCTCTCTCTTTGAGAGCTTTCGACTCAGATAGAGCACTGGCCGCTCCTCTCCTCCGACCACCTGGGACAGGACTGCACCCAGCCCCCTGTCCGACGCATCTGTCTGCAACAAAAAGGGGAGATCAAAGTTAGGAGAGTGTAAGAGCGGCCCGCCGCACAGGGCAGCCTTTACCTTGGTTAGGGCCTGTTGGCAGAGCTCCGTCCACTGGACCGGATCTGGTGCGTGCTTTTTAGTGAGATCAGTCAGCGAGCTGGTGAGCTCCGAATAATTAGGAATAAACCTTCTATAATATCCCGCCAGCCCCAGGAACTGTCTCACCTCCTTTTTGGTCTTGGGACTTGAGCAAGCCGCAATCGCAGCCGTCTTGTCAATTTGTGGAAAAGTGGAAGCCCAGATACCGTACCTCCACACGCCCAATTGCACACTTTCCGCGGGTTCGCCGTGAGTCCAGCCACCCTCAGGGATCTCAGGACAGCGCGCAGATGTTCCATATGCCGCTGCCAATCATACGCGCCATGTCTCATGGACAAGAATCTTGTCCATGAGACGCTGAAAGTTGGCGGGAGCCCCGAACAACCCGAACGGAAGAGTAACAAATTGGTGTAACCCGAACGGTGTTGTGAAGGCTGTTTTTTTCCTTGGATAATGGCGACAAGGGGATCTGCCAATACCCTTTCGTTAAATCCAGTGTCGAATAAAAGCGAGCCGAACCTAACTGATCAAGCAGCTCGTCAACTCGGGGCATTGGATAAGCGTCGAATTTCGACACTGCATTCACCTTTCTGTAATTAACACCGAACCGGACGGAGCCGTCCGTTTTAGGCACTAAAACTATCGGGCTCGCCCAGTCGCTATGCGATTCTTCTATTACTCCCAACCCTAGCATGGCCGTTAATTCATCGTGTACCACTTTTTTCTTGTGCTCCGGGAAACGATAGGGGTGGCTGCGCGCCACATCATTTCGATGTGGTGCTGTATGAGGTTCGTGTGACCGGGCAGGGGTGAAAACACATCCGCAAAATCTGCTTGCAACTTGGCTGCAGCGGCGAGAGGTGATCTCCCTCGGGGACCAGAGCGAGCGGATTGGTTTTGACAGCTGCTTCTGGTCCGAGATCTTCCTCTGCCAAAACGGCCGCCGCTAACTCCACCGAGGTCACCTCATTCCAACGTTTTAAAAGATTGAGATGATATATTTGACATGAATTACCTCGGTCCGTTCACTTTACCTCATAATCAAGATCCCCCACTCGCCTTGTAACCACAAAAGGTCCTTGCCACTTGGCGAGTAATTTAAAACTAGATGTTGGCAGTAATACAAGCACTTTCTCTCCCGGTGTAAATTGACACGCTCGCGTACCCCTATTGTACAGCTGACTTTGTCGGTCCTGAGCCTGAAGCAAATTCTCCATAGAAAGCCGCCCCAGAGTGTGGAGTTTTGCTCAAAGGTCCATGACATACTGAATTTCACTACGGCAGTTTGAAGGCCCCTCCTCCCAAGCCTCTCTAATGACGTCAAGCACCCTGAGGGGCTGACGACCATAGAGAGGCTCAAATGGATAAAACCCCATGGAGGCTTGTGGAACCTCCCGCACAGCGAACAACAGGGGCTCGAGCCATTTATCCCAATTTTTGGCGTCCTCCTTAACAAACTTACGAACCATGGATTTTAACGTGCGATTAAATCGTTCCACCAAGCCGTCCGTTTGTGGGTGATAGACACTGATGCGAATCGATTTAATGCCCAGAAGTTCGTATAGTTCGCTTAACGTATGTGACATAAACGCCGTGCCCTGATCAGTGAGAATCTCTTTGGGGATTCCCACTCGGGAGATTACTCGAAACAGTGCGTCTGCCACACTCTTTGCAGAGATGGTGTGCAGCGGCACTGCTTCCGGGTATCGTGTTGCATAATCCACCAGAACTAATGCAAAACAATGTCCGCGTGCTGAACGTTCTAATGGCCCAATGAGGTCCATACCAATTCTCTCGAAGGGGACCTCTATCCGTGCACTGTAAAAAATTACAGTGACTTTAACGGTAAAAGACTGTAAAAATGCTACAGTAAAAACCTGTTAAATGGTTAACGGTAAATTCCCCTACTATATACGGTGAAAAACTGTATTGGACATTACATGTATTGGACATTAATTTTACGGTAGTATACCGTTTTTGGAAGTGATAAAGTATCATTTACAGTGAATAACCGTAAATTGACATTTCCAGAATTCCCTGCATTACATTTTAAATTTAATGTTTTTTTGTTGAAATAACTATGTTTCTTCTTAGTTTTTTCTTATCAGTTTTGTATATTAGGGTTGTGTGTTACACCTAATGTTGTTAAATGAATGTTTATTGCATTATTTCAGTTTCATGTGTGTTACCATGATGGTGTTTAGCGTTTGTGTGAATGACACTGTGCACCTTCTATATATGTTATTATTTAAAAGCTGCTTGTGCTGCTTTAGTTCATCATGTGACTTTCTCATCACCACCTGCATTTGGTGGTTGTCAGTTTATTATAAAGGTTCCGAACAGATTTCAGTACTTCAATAGGTTGGTATATTAACATTATATCAGTTAATGAAATTATGGTATTTAACTGTAAATTTAAGTTAAAACCTAAAACGTTGCTACCATATTTTTTATGGTAAAATTCCGGCAACCACAGCTGCCGACACTTTTGCTTTTTTGCTACTATGATAGACAATCACTAACTGAGTATATAATGCTAGACTTTTGGTGTTACTCTGAGGAAATACACCATTGTCTTAAGCAATGATGACTGTGTTACCGTTCTCCTGTCTTCCTGACCCATCATCCATGAACAGTGAGTGGTCCATGTGATTTGCTTTGTAGCCTAATGTCATAATGACTCTAAAGGGCAAATGTCTGTGTAACTGAGTAAAGCTCGGATGATTAAAGGCTGATCGTTGTGCAGGACAGTAAACAGTGAATGAGGGGGCGTAATGCTATAATACTCTAATAAAAAAACCATGAAGGGTGCTGTTTGTGCTGTGTGCTTTGAGAACGAATGCTGTGTTGTGATGCCATGCCCACTGCCATGGCCAAGATGAGTGGGTGATCTTGTGTTAGTAGGCTGAGCATTAAAAAAACTTTTTATTTTATTAAATTTATGACAATTTTTTCATAAATTTATGAAATAAAGATGTGGCAAAAAAGCAATGACACAGTTATAACAAATTTTTTTTAAATTGACATAAAAAGTCATAATTATGATGTAAAACACTGACATTGTTTTTTTTTTTCCAATTACAGAATTATGCCATAAGTTGAAATTGACATAAAAAGTCGTAATTATGATGCAAAACATTGACATTATGAAAAGCAATTGCATAATTATGTAGCAAATTAGCTCAAAAGGAAAATGTATATAAATAATTACAATCAATTATGATTAATTACAATTATTTATATTAGCTGCCAGTAGTAACT